TTTGCATGTTTATTACAAATCACTATTTTTTTTTTTTTAAAGAGGCTACACACAGTGGCATCTCTAGCCCCAAAGCAGGAGTGCATGACCGTAGCATTTGAAAGCAAATACTGCTGTGGTTACACTTGACTGCACTGTGAGCCAACAGTGTTTGAGGCACTTCCCAAGGGGTGCATCTTGCTTGAACTGTGGCTTCCTTTCACCATAACTAACCAAATGTGAACGGAATTCAAGGGGCTAATTTGGGTATCAAGACCACAGTGCCACTTTCTTGGTGATCTCTGACAAACAAGGAAGATGATATCATCACAAATAATGTGCTCAGGTTTGACAACGTTTCATAGCAACTAACTAATTGGTCTCTGAATGGACTTGGCTCTAAGCTGGGTTTATGCTAAACGCATCTTAATGAAAACACGCCTCTGTGGTTCCAATCCTTTGGAAACATGACTCAACAAGAAGGTGTGCTTGAAGGTTTTGTTTTATTTTTTTTTTCAGAGCTGAGGCAGGAAACAAACATTTTGTGTTTTCAATGAAATAGCAGCGATATTGGAAACTGGGTTTTGGTACGCAAATGATGTAATTTCTAAGGCTTTTTTTTTTTGTGTGTGTGTGTGTAGACATTACATTTTAAAAACGAACTCTAACACAGTGCATTATATTTGTAATTTCCTAAGGAAGATAATTGAATTTCCTTAAACCACTAAAAATGGTGACAGTGGCAGTTTATTTGCCCCTTCCCATAATTAAAGTTGTATACGCCCTGGTAAAAATTAGTGAATGAATTAGTATCGTGATAAGGGACTATAAACTAGATCTATAAGTTCATGGTAGTAAACGCAATAATTAAACCATCCACCCTCTTAATGAAGAGTACTGGTGCTGGAATTAGATTGCTTGGGTTCCAATCCTGGCTCTCTAGTTTACTGTGTCTTCTAGAGCATGTCTCTTACTCTCTCCTCTGTTGTTTCTTTACTTGTAGTATGGACTAGTTAGTAACGCCTCCGTTGGGGGGCTTCTGTCAGAATTCATTGACATGATTCTTGAAGCAGTTAGCACAGAGCCTGACACAATGGAAAGGGCTGTTATTATTGCTGCATGTATTGCAGAGACCTGTAAGCCAAAAATCACATCTCCCTGACTCTCTTGCAGCTATTATGGACGTGCGTAGGTTTCAACCACCAGATGCTTCCAGGTAAGCTATGGTGAGCTATTTCTCTGATAGGCATTATGTATATATAGAATGTGCCTTTAGCCTATCTTTGGGCTACAACTTGGTTGCAAGCTTTTCTCAACTTGATTGCAAGCATTGAGAAGGCAGGGACCAGCTCATAAAAGTTTTTAGTCCCTTCATCGCTCAGCACAATGTCTTATCAATTACATAATCAGCAATGAGCTTTTGGGCTAGATTGCCAAAGACCTTGACTCAGTTTCCACAGGCCTGTTCTGGACCTGTCACTCACTCTGTTATAACCCTGAATCCTCTTTGCATTATGGCAGAGGGAGTTCAAGGCGGCTTTCTACCCCAGTCCACAGCAGACCAACCAATAAAGCATTCAGACCATTGGTCCTTTGGCTGAGGCTGTATGCAGTGGTACAAAAGATCCCAGATGGACATGTCATTTATTTAGGAGCTGTTTCTAGTATTTGAGGCATTTCTGACTACAGACAGCATATAATTTCTTTATCTCAAATAAGTTAATTTATGCAGAATACAATTTATGCCCTCATTCCTTTCCCTTTCTCATGGTTTAGTGATGAGCAAGCTAGCATTTTTCTTATCGAAGAACCTACTGTCACAGTCTGAACAACTCATCTGCAGCAGGCTCAAAGGTCACCCAAGGTCAATGTGCTGACCTTTGTCTTTTAAACATGTTAAGTTTTACTTCTTCAGTGTTTTGTTTTTTTTAACCTAACAATTTGATTTAAGCTAGTCCAAAACAGAATTAAGTTTAATACTCGTACATACTGACTTCTACTTACAGTTCATGAAATGAACACCAAATAGAGTAGCAAGATTCGGCAAGCCTGGGTTTCCTTCCCGCTTGGTATGACAGTTGTGCTTTAACTGGTAGAATCTATAGGTTAGATGAAGGCTTTGAGAATTTAAAATATTTTCATCATCACACAAAGTATTTGGAACGTTTATATAAGGCCTTCAAGCTCCTCTCCTTCTTCCCGGTGCTCCGCCAATGACATTTCCTGGCATGCAGCTTCCTCTTTCATGTTCCTTCTGTCCTCTTCCACTCTATCTTAATTTACAAAATGAATTCCCAATTTTTTTTTTTTTTTTTGTTTCTATTTGTTAGTGATTACTTGCAGCCATACACTAATTTGATTATAGCATTATGGTGTGAAAAAGCTTGCAATTGGATTCCAAAATGACAGGCAGTATAAATGATAAAGTACTGTGTTAAAACACTGTGTTAAAGCACTGTCAGCAACAAATAAAAATGTTTAAAGAAATGTTTTGGAAAGGAGAGAGAACGAGGCTGGGAGAGGAAATCATTCACACCCAGCAAAGGAAGAGCCACATTTAGGGAAGAATGTGAGGGACAAGGACAATAGAAAAACTTAAGTAACTTTATTTTTAATACGGTTAACATAACAAAACTAAAATCTGATTCACATGCAATAGATTAGTTTCATATATGCAATGTAGTTATTAAACATTTGTATATTTAACAAGTGATCACGATGATAAATCTAGCAAGCGTCTGACACTGTGCAAAGTTATCACATTATTATTATTGAAAGCTATATTCCCTATGCTGTACATCACCATGGCTGATTTATAAGTGGAAATCTATGTCTTATTCACCCACCTCCTTTCCTCCACCTTTCCCCCACCTCCTTCCCCTCTGAGAACCATCAGTTTATTGTGTATATCTATAAATCTGTTTCTTTTGTATCTTTAGATTCCACATATAAATAAAATCATACGGTATTTGTTCTGTCAGATTTCTTCCACCTAGCAAATATGGTCTAGGTCAGTGGTCAGCAAACCGAGGCTCGAAAGCCACATGCGGTTTGCAGACCACTGACCTGGAGGATATTTGCTAGGCGTCATATACCATAGTCATATACTACCCTTTACCTCTTTGCACACAATATGCCACAATTGCCTAATCCTCACAGCTTCCAACTACACGGTAACATTTGGTCTAGTCCAGTGGTTGGCAAACTTATTAGTCAACAGAGAGGCCAACCGTGGCTTGCAAACTGCAGGTGGCTCCGAGCAGCGGTTTGCCGACCCCTGCTCTAGGCCCATCCATGTTGTCACAAATAACAAGACCCTATTCTTTTTCATGGTGCAGCAATATTCCATTGAATATATGTACCACAACTTCTTTATCCATCCATCAATGCGCACTTAGGTTGCTTTCATATCTTGGCTATTGCAAATCATGCTGCAATGAACATAGGGGTGCATGTACTTTCAAGGCAGTGTTTTCTTCGGATAGATACCCAGAAGTGAAATTGCCGGGTGTGGGTATCTATCCCCACAATCCTCAGCAATCCTTCAAGGATAAGTCACAGAGAGCATTAGGTTGCATCAGATTTGCCAGTGACTCTCCTGGAAGATGTAATGGATCTTTACTTCCCAAGGACCATTCGTTCGGTTATTGTTGAGCCCTAACGTGTACGGGGGGACTGTACTGGAACTAGGTTTGCAAAGATGAAAAGAGCAGTTCCTGTCTTCAAGTGCTTTCAGTCTTTGAAACAGAACATCCTAAGAGGCAAGTATAAAGGGCCCAGCTGCAAAGAGAGAAAAGTAGCAGCTAGAAGCTGGGAAGAGTCCTCAAGGCTCTATAGCAAGAGAGCTGTAGTCCAGGTGACAAAGAGAACTGTGATAAGCTTTTGTATCTTTCAAAAAAAAATTAATGTGAAGCACATCAGCTCGTCCATAAAGGAAAGAGGGTTGGGATGATGGCATTTCATATGGAAGGTTTAAAACATTTCACTGGAGCAGGAACGTACACTGACAAGTCCCCCTTTAATCGGCAGGGAAGAAGAAAGAAAGGCCCAGAGGACGAATGAGTGCTAACTCATCCAACTGACATTCCCAGAGCACTTGCTGCCTTTAGTCATTGCCGACTAAATATCTCCAATATCCAGCTACTAGGGGCAGGGAGTCCACCATTTCTATCCGATTTTTGCACGCAGCATAGGAAGAAGGCCACTGTTGCAGTTTCCAGACCCTGTTCTCCCCCTCTCCTCCTGTCGTTGTAAAAGGCTGTGTGAGAGGCAAATCTGCAGGAAGTCTAGCGGTTTTCCCTTCTTTTTCATGACAAATGCAAGCATTTAAATTAGGGCGGTTAACACCCGCAGCCCTAACACCTTTGTAAGCCTCCCTGCCCTCTCGCTCAGCTTCAGGGGAGCCTAACAGCGCTAACCGCCCGGCGGCTGCAACCGCTCCTCCCGGGAGGGAGGCGCGCGGCGGGGCGTTGCGCGGTCAGGGCTCCTGGGCCAGGGTCGAGCTGGGAAGGAGCCGGGAAGGCGAGGGCGGGCCTTTGGGGGGGAGGGGCTTTGGACGAGCAGTCCTCCTAGCCAATGGGAAGCCTGGTCGGCTTTCCCACCTGCCAATAGGGACGGAGGCAAAGGTTGTGGGGGGCGCTTCCCGCGGGCTGCGGCTGGATTCCATCCTGCGCGGCGCCGGCGGGGGCGGGGCGGAGGCCGAGCCGGGCGGCGGGCGGGCAGCGGATCCGGGGAGGAGGAGGGAAGACCGGAAGCCGCGGCCGCGTCCCATCCTTAGATTCGCTCCCTCGGGGTGTGGGACGGAGAGACGGCGGCGGAGCGGGGTGAGGCCGAATGTCGGCTCCTTGAGACGAGGGAGCGGCCGCTCGGGAGCCTCCTCCCCGAAGCCACCGGCTCCTGGGCGCGCCGCCCCCGCGCACACCCCGCCGCCGACGCGCCCGCCCGCGCGGGGACGGACCGGCCGGCCGCCCCGAGGCCCGCACCACGCCGCCGCCCGCCCGCCGGAGCCTCGGGCCGTCGCCATGTCCTCCTCCTCCTCCTCCCCCAGGGAGACGTACGAGGAGGATCGGGAGTACGAGAGCCAGGCCAAGCGCCTCAAGACCGAGGAGGGCGAGATCGACTACGCGGCCGAGGAGGGCGAGAGCCGCCGGGAAGCGGCGCCCCGGGGCGGGGGCGATGGCGGCGGCGGCCGGAGCTTCTCGCAGCAGCAGCCGGTAACAAAAGCGCGGCGCCCCGTCCGTCCGTGCGCCCGTCCGTCCGTCCGTCCCTCCGCCCGCCCGCCCGCCGTGCCGGCGGCTCCCCGGGAAGCGGGGCCCCGGGGCGGGGACTGGCTCCGGGCCTCCGGCCCTTCGCTGCTGCGATGGCGGGGCCCCGGATCGCCTCTTCGGGGGCGTTTAGGATGGGCCCCTCCCTGTACCCCGCACCCCGATCGCGGCCCCGGCCCGGCCTGGCCGCAGGCCCTGAACTTGGGGAGGGTCCGGGAGGGGCGGCGGGAGGCGTCGCTTCCGCTCGGGGGGCTCAGGGGCCCTTTGTTAGAGGGACTCTCCCGGCTGCGGCCCGGCCGGTCCTCTCGGCCCCTCTGCCCGCAGCATCCGCGCGCGCGCGGGCCACGGTTGCGGGATCGCGGGGCGTCTGCTCGCCCAGGGGCGGGGGAGGCTCAGCAAAGGGCTGGCTAGGCTCCGGCGCCCCCGAAGGTTTCCCTGAAACATTAGGACTCTTGGCAGGGAATGGCGTGCTTGCATGCTTTGCTACCCAATTTTTTTTTTTTTTTATGATTATTGCGGAGTCCAGCTTTTAGCTCTACTTGGGTTAAAAAAAGAATGTATTGGTAGGGTGTTAGGACATCCCTACTTTCAAGGAAAACAGATCTTAAAAATCATCTCACGTCTTCATTGACCGTGTATACACACCCGCCTTGAACACACGCTGCTACATCCTTGTTCCTCTAAAAACCGCTGGAGGCAGGAGGAATGGGAACATGGTTTCATCCGCAGCAAATGGTAACTCAGGCTCCCGCTGGATGGGGACTTGAAGGAAACAAGCAAGCAAAGGAATTGGGTTGTGTGTGTGTGGTTTTTTTTGTCCTTTTTGGTGCGTAAGCTATCTTAATGACTTAGATGTTCTTGGGACATGTAACACGTCTTAATTGTGATTTTGTTTTTCATTGTTTTTTTGTTTTGTTTATTTTTTCCCTTGTTTTTGCCCATTCTGTTCTGCAAGTAACAGGAAATTAAAGATTTGTTGAAATGGTTTGTTTGCTGATGAGATGAAAATGTATTCCTCAGTTTTTATTAATTTGCAAGATGGCAAAATGCCAAGATAAAAATGTAGATTCCCAGGGTTCTCAAATAAAGGAATGTATGTTATGTAGAGAATCTAGTTTGAAGATACATTAATACTCGTTCATGATGCACTTTAATGATGATAGGAATATTAATAGATTTATTGGGTGAATATGAGATGGGAGATGGGATGAAGTCACTTTGTTAGCTCCCACAGGAGAAGCTTAGAGACCGTGTGGGTGAGTCTAGCAACTGCACTGTGTGGAATAAAACATTGCAAAGAGGTGTGCTCTGGAGCAGTAAAATGGTTAGCTACACTGCTACAGTAAATGATTTTCAGGCCTGGTTTGGGAAAGAAGCGAAAAGCAGTAGGTATTACCACTTTTTGGCTTCATTTCTTCGTGGTAGAACAAGAATGAAAAAAGCTGTTAATAGAGGCGTCAGCCCAACCAGGCAGGTGCTACCTATCACACGAGGTGGTTGGATTATGATCACTGTGAGCTCTTAACTCATTAAAAAATTTCCTGAGCCTCTACCATGTATGTGCCAGGTGCAGTTCTCAGTGATATAATAGTAAAAAAAAGTCCGTTATTGGGATGTCGGTGAGTTTACATCATTCCTTTTTCCTCTGTGAAGTTGAATGTAACTTTCAAAGCTCACAGTTACAGTCACAGCAACTGGGATGAACTTAAGCAAAACAGAAAGGGGTCAGGGGTAAGGAATTTATTGACCCATATCACTGGGAAAGCCAAGTTGTGGCACTGCTTCCAGGCATGGCTGGGCTCAGGGATTTAGACAATGTCATGGAGACTTGATTCTTTCCATGTTGCAGCACTATCTTATAACTAGCAAATAAAGAGAACATTCTCTTCCTCAAGGCCCATATTTATCTCCGATCAACCTGTTTTTTGTTGTTGTTTTTTGTCTCTCACTTCATTTCCACAACTAATCATTGTGCTATCTCTGAAGTTGGGAAAGCATGACTGTGATTGAGATTACCAATATAATAATGTGGATTGGAGGAAGTTTTGTGTGTGTGTAACCAGAAGAAATGGGAAGGGCTTCTGGGTAGGCAAAACCAAAAGATTTGTAGTACCTGAGGGGGGAAAAGGTTATTTTATTTATTTATTTTTGATATATTTTATTGATTTTTTACAGAGAGGACGGGAGAGAGCTAGAGAGCTAGAAATGTCGATGAGAGAGAAACATCAACCAGCTGCCTCCTGCACACCCCCCACCGGGGATGTGCCTGCATCCAATGTACATGCCCTTGTCCGAAATCGAACCCGGGACCCTTCAGTCCGCAGACCTACGCTCCACCACTGAGCCAAACCGGTTTCGGCCCTTCTCTTATTTAATAGAGTTTGGTCCTCAACCTCCAGTTGTCAAAATTAGCACTTAAGATTGGTGTTACTAGAGTTTGTCCTTGAGGTAGCCTTTGAGGGAAGGGAGTTTGGATTGCTTATGAGGAGACTGATCTATAGCCTGCAGTGGGGATCGAATAATGCCTTCATAGTTGACCAACAAGGCCTTCCTAAGTGGCATTTGATGGGATGATGTCTGGGTACCCAGGAGCACCGTGGGCATAGTCTGGGGTGATAGTCCAGTTTGGCTCTGACCCACACTCATCTGGGCAACCCCTTCTCCCAGCCTCGGACCACCTCCTCCTTGCCTAGCATAAACTTAAAGCGCTTGTTTCTGTCCAGGGAGAAATCAGATTTCTTTCCATCTTCAAGCACCCCTGTGTGGTTCACCTGCAGGTCTGCCCTGCTTCCAGAAAGGGCACACGTCTCCCCCTGCCCACCCCGGCGGAAGCTGCGGTGGCTGCAGCTGTGGCCCCGAGGAGAGCGGGGTGGACCAAGACCCCGTCTGGTGGTGGCCGTGGTTCCCAAGAAAATACTGGTTTAGTAACGTATTTAAGGGTGGAGGAGAGGAAGGGTTGAAAATATAGTTTGAAAAGAGATCTTTAATATGTCAGTTTTATATTTGGAAACAACCCTAGGTTTGTGGGTGTTTTTTTTTTTATTTTTATTTTTTTTATTTTTATTTTTTTTTACTTTTATAATAAACTACAGAAAGGATGAGAAATTTTAAAATTAAAAGGAGACATAATTTAAAGATAGAGAACTATCAAGGAATGGCAAATTCATTGAGTGGGAATAAGGGAAATACAAGGGGTTGGGAAATGTTTTCTGTCTTGAGGTTGAGATAATTGTGAGATATTCATATCTCCTCCTAAATATGATACTGATAGCATTCAGTATTTTCCAGCTACTATAGGATGACTTGAGTTTCCATCTGTTTCATTTGGGAAATATAAGTAATAATATATTAATCAGATCTTTTGAGAGATTCTTAAATTGGTCCTATAATCCATTTCTTTGTGAGAAGACCAGTTTGAAAAAGTCATGTTCCTTAGCACTATCTGAAGATAGTGTTTATCCATGATGGGAAGGGAGGTAGGAGGAGAGTTGTGTGTAACTGGTTGGTAGTTTCAATTAATAGACTGGGTAGTAAGTTATATTGTTCGTACCCTTTTGCAGATCTTAAATATTACACAATGAAATACTTTCCCAATTTTTTATCATATAAAATGTTCAATTAATATGCCATTTTTAAAGTGTTATTTGTGATTTTAATCTCTATATCTCTACATTTTCCCCCTGAGCTATTTGAAAGTAGTTTATAAGCATTGCAGTCATCCTTAAGAATCCCAGCTACTCCTAAGAACAGAGATACTCTTTCTTACACCGTTACCATTGTGATGGCATCTGAGACAATAAATCCATCATATAATCTAATGTCCTATTTAAGTTCTCCAGTTGTTCCGAAGATGCCTTTGTAGCAGTTTTTATCTGTTATGAAACGAAGGCTCACATATTGCATTTGGTTGTTGTCTCTCTCCAGTCTCAGTCTGAAATCTACTGTTTTTTGATACTAACTTTTTAAAAATATATATATTTTATTGATTTTGTACAGAGAAGAAGGGAGAGAGACAGAGAGTTAGAAATGTCAATGAGAGAGAGTCATCGATCAGCTGCCTCTTGCACACCCCCTACTGGGGATATGCCCGCAACCAAGGTACATGCCCTTGACTGGAATCGAACCCAGGACCCTTCAGTCCCCAAGCCGACGCTCTATCCATTGGGCCAAACCTGTTTTGGCTGATACTGACTTTTTGAAGAGTCCAGGACAATATAGACACTGTTTTTTTTGCATTTAACCTTTGCCAGCTGATATCTAAGGATCAATGGAGATTTTAGAGTAAAACTTGTTATTTCTACTTTAAATGTGTGTCTAAATTCAGGTTCTTAGGTTTTATTTAGAGCTCTATTTTTACATTGCTGTCCAATTATATTTAGAGCTTAATATGGTGATAATGCACATTTGGTTGTTGAGTTTCACATAGGCAGTGTTTCGTTTGTTAAGGTTGCTAAGAGAATGTTGGTTTACATAGGGAACAATCAGAATGATTTGTTTTAAATGTGGTGACATGTAATGAATATCTGTAAGCATAGAAAAGACTAAACCTAAGCAATTACAATGAAATTTGAAGGACTGAATTAATATTTGCAAAGAACTGAAATTGTTTGTTGGCTATGCCTATCATATAGCATAGTCCCCTGGTTACTTTACATATTTAAATCAGTTCTTTTTAAAAAACTGACATATTTTATTGGCATATGTCTATTTTTCTAGTCTTTATAATGAAAAAAAATTGGCAAGTCTTTTAAAATAGCCATAAAGAGATTTAAAATTTTCTTTAAATGATTAAGTTTTATAGTGCTTCTAGATTAGTCTGTTTGGAGAACCAAGAAACCTTTCATTAATAGATTTTTAGGATATCTCTATATATCCATATATACACGTATATATCCATATATGAGTGAATTATATATGGGAATAATTTCTGATGAGATGCAAGAGAGGTGCCCTGTAAATATAAATCTTTGTCTTAATAAAACTTGAATAAGTAAATGAGAGAGCTATTTTAATTTAAAAAATAAAAATATAATAGAATCAGGGGCATAGAAAGGGAGTGGACTGACAGTTCTCGGAGGGAGATGGTAAGGGGGGTGTGGGAAGAGACTGGACAAAAATCGTACACCTATGGCTGTCTTTATTGTTGAAAGTATTACACAAGTGCCTTTTTTTTTAAACCTCTCCATTGATCCTCTCCACCATCTCCCCTCTCCCAGGCCTTCACTGCAACTTAAAAAAAAAGTTTGTTTTTTAAGACAAAGTTGAATGTGCTAAGAAATATAATTTGAGTTTTTAAAGTTTTTAATTACAAATTATTTTCTCTTGCTAGGAGGCAGGTGGAAGTCATCATAAGGTTTCTGTTTCACCCGTTGTCCATGTTCGAGGACTCTGTGAATCTGTGGTGGAAGCAGACCTTGTGGAGGCTCTGGAAAAATTTGGGACAATATGGTAAGGACAATAGGACTCCATGCAGATTGAAAACAGCATGGTAGACCCAGCTGCTGGGTTGCTGTTGCCTTGATGTTATCACTGAATTTCTTTGGAATCTTGTTTTTAACCTTTCCGGGATGATGCCTGGTTGTATTTTTGTGGCCTTGATCACCTCTCACTTCCCAACTAGGTTGTATATGTAAAATTGATTATTGCTTCTTTCATCTGATTTCAAATGAGTCCATGTTTCCTTCTTAACACTGCTTAAAACCAATGAGTTGATTACACCCTTCATCTTCAAAGTTTCAAGTGGTTAATGGTACTTAAATACTGATTTTTTTTTTTTTAATCATCACCCAAGGATATTTTTTCCACCAATCTTTTTAGTGTGTGTGAAAGGGAGGGAGGGAGGAGGGGGATAGAGAAAGCAACATCAATGTGAAAGAGACACATTGATTGGTTGCCTCCCTCATACACCCTGACAAGAGCTACACCCCAGCAAGAGCCAGGAATTGAACCTGCAACCCAGGTGTGTGCCCTTGACCAGGTACAGAGCCCAAGACCCTTTGGTGCGAGTGTTGATGCTCTGACCACTTAGCAACATTGGCCAGGGCTTAAATACTGATTAAGAAATTATTTTGGAATATTTAGGAACTGGCAGCTAAAAGTGCGTAGATGAAAGGTAGGCATTATTCGTTTAGTTACATGTTGTGGTGAGCTCTTATGCAGGTCACGAGCAGTGTTTTATCCTAGCATATTCACACAGCTGGTGTGTGCTTATGAATATTGACTTAAGTGAAAACATAATTAGAAAAGTGAAACTGCTACCAAAAATAGACTCATAAAAATTCTTCCTAAGTTATTTTTGGAGTATGTTTGGTTATTGCTCTCTTGTTAGCATGGATATTCTAGAGTTGATTTTTATTATTTTTTTCCTCAATGAATATGTTTGGAGTTTTGTTGTAGGCCTCATTGACACAGACTACATCAAAATATATAAACAGAAATTTCTATGTATTTGCTGAGATGGCTTGATTGCTTCAATTTTATAAATATTTATATGGAGTTTTTAACTATTGAAAAGATGGTATATAAGTAGATAGTGAGGGAGTGGTTAGAGATACCCAACAGAGCTGAAACGGGTTTGGCTCAGTGGATAGAGCATCAGCCTGTGGACTGACGGGTCCCGGGTTCGATTCCGGTCAAGGGCATGTACCTTGATTGCGGGCATCACCCCAGTAGAGGGTGTGCAAGAGGCAGCTGATCGATGACTCTCTCTCATCGATGTTTCTATCTATCTCCTTTCCTCTCTGTAAAAAAATCAATAAAATATATATATTTTTAAAAAGAGATATCCAACAGAAAGGAATAATTGCATCAAAAGTTTTAGGTGATAACTTCTATCATGACATTTTCTTAATTTCTTTAATGACTTCATTGAGAGGTAGATAACTTGGCAAACCTGTTATCCTCAACTTACATACCTCAGAAATCACTGACATACATAATGTTTATCCTTGCTCCACACATTTTATAACTGAACTTTTGGGATCTAATTTGTATAGTAAATCTTGTGCCTCTCCCTGTTTTTATTTAAAATTTAGTAAACATGTCTTGAGTTGTAAGTTGAAAGCACCCACTATGTCTCTTAGCCGTTTTGGTTATTTTTTTCTCTCTCTGCTCTTCCAATCTTCCTAACATTAATACTTTTAAAAGATTTTTCAAAAAATTTTGTGCCAGAATACAGTTTAAGTGTATTCTTAAAATATGTGTGATATTCTAATAAATACCTTTTCACATTCTTTAATATTTAAAAATATTTCGGTTGAGATTTAGGGGAGAAAGTTGGTCAGTTTGCAATTGATTTTGTTTTTCTGTTCTCTGTTTTAGTAAGATAAGTGTAGTCAGTTATAAGTGTGTGCACTTATTTATTTGGAAAAATCAGTAGATAGTAGTTATTAAATTCTGCTTTTACTTGGTTGAAAACAAATAATGTTTTATATTTGGGTATTCCCTCCCAATTTCTTTCCAGCTATGTGATGATGATGCCATTTAAACGGCAGGCTCTTGTGGAATTTGAGAACATAGATAGCGCCAAAGAATGTGTGACATTTGCTGCAGATGAACCTGTGTACATTGCTGGTCAACAGGCTTTTTTCAACTATTCTACAAGCAAAAGGATCACTCGGCCAGGAAATACTGATGATCCTTCAGGAGGCAACAAAGTTCTTCTGTTATCAATTCAGAATCCTCTTTATCCAATTACAGTGGTACGGATTTTTAATATGCCAAACTAAATTAAAAGAGATTTTGGACTTTTCCGTTAGGATGACTAACATAGTTTTCTTCACTGCCATCTAGATATTTAAAAACAGTGATTGTCTTAATTTTGATTATTAAGCTTAATGAACAAAGAAATGGTGAGCACTGGTACTAAAAAGGTCAGAAGCACAGTTGCCATAATTTTAAGCAAGCAAATTTAAAGCATCAGTATTAACTGTTTCTAATAAGAAATTAGACAGACTTGAAAATGATCTAAGAATTCTCTCACTTACACCAGCACATGTATCAAAAGCATCTAGTAGGTAATGACAGGCTCCCATAGTATGTTGTAAGATGCATATGCCATTATTATAAGGTCTTTTGATAAACTTGTTAAAAACTGGCCTTATTTCTTTAATTAGTACCATTTCTAGTAATGTATATGATATTGGGACATAAATTTAAATTGTATTTTATGCTTTAACTTTAGACATTTATCTTTATTTTTTAATATTTATAGGCTTAATAGACTGTTACTATATTTGCAGTATTTGGTATTTTGGAAAAAATATATAACTTCATCTAGTACAAGTACTCTGATTTGTTTATTGTTGTATCCCTAGTACCTAATGGTAATTTCTTGAAAGTTGAAGAATTATTCGTAAGAGGGTGTCTAAGTTCTCTCTTAGATGATTCAGGCATCTTGTTTGAAGTCATCTAACACTGTATAAATGATCTTTCCTGGGTCTTTTCTGAATAACCATTGTTCCTTAAAAAATGGATACTGAGCTATTCTACTACCACTTAATAAATATCTACCGTATTACTGTAATTCAAGTAATTCAAGAAATATCATATTTCTTGATGATATTTGGAAAAATCATTATAGTTTTGGTATTAATTGTGTATAGCCAGTATTTTAGTCACCTATTAAGAAAATAAAAATTGAGGATTCATTTAGGGATCAAATAGGTAAAGTTCAAATGTTTCATTGGAATTTCTCTAATGTGTTGGTATATTGTGTGAGGAAGTAACTTCAGATTTATTAAAGTATAACAATTTTTAAAGTTTAATTAGCAATTAATAGAAGTGACATCTTGATAGTTTTTTTAAATTTTTTATTGTTGAAAGTATTACATATATCCCCTTTCCTCCCCATTGTTGTCTCCCAGCCTGCCTCCGCCCTTGTTAGTTTTTTAAGTAAAGGAAATCAGGGTATAGCTTTAATGTTTTTCCAGATACAAAATATGAAGAAATCTTTTCCTTTCCTTCTTAGGATGTTTTATATACTGTATGCAACCCTGTTGGAAAAGTGCAACGTATCGTTATATTCAAGAGAAATGGGATTCAAGCAATGGTTGAATATCCTTTATTTATAATTTTTTTACTTATATGTGTGAATGCTGTGTAACATAGACCTTAATTTTTCCTATATAATCATTTCTAGGCAAGTGGTGTTTATTCCCTCTCAATCTCTTTTTCTGAGATTTAAAAAATGAAATTGCCACACCCATAGAGAATTTTGCTTGCTACCATGAAACAATCCAGTGCTTTGCCTTTTTATTGGGGAAAAAAAATAACACTTTGATAATATGTACACTTTTACCTTTTTAAAATTTATCTTGAATGAACTTTTCTGAAGTTCTTTTTAAAATAGGTTATTTGGAAGTACCAAAACTTTAGAATCAATAAATCTTTCTTTATTAACTCTTAGATGGTCATAGTTTATATAAGAAATATTTTTTGAATAAAAAGAGCAAGTTGTAAAATAGTAAATAAAGTACAATCCCATTAAAAAACTCTTAATGTATGTATAGAGAAAGGTTAGGGTTTTATAGCAAACTCTAATGGTGCTTCTGGAGAGATATTTTTTTTTCTGACCATTTTTGTGACTTGATTTTTGGAAAGAATTACAGAATTAAAAAAATTACAGACATATCATTTTAAAAAACAATAAAATGAGGATAGTTACATGATTATAAAACACCTGACTTTTCAGAAATTTATACAAATTAAATGTTTGTCTTGTATTACTTTGATTCTTTGTAATGTTAATAGTAAAATATTGCCTGTTTCGAGATAGCAACTTCTTTTTTGTTAGGGAATGTGACCATGCCCCTTTCCCTTCTCTCTAATTTATAAAGTATTTCTGATTACTTAGAAGGATTAATATGTAGATAGGTAGGTTGGATTATGTTACTTTTAATATCATTGATCCTTTTTTTTCTTTTTAAATTTATTTTTAAATTACAGTTGGCATACAGTATTATATTAGTTTCAAGTGTGCAACATAGTTCTTAGACCTTTATGTACCCTACAATGGTATCTTTGATATTAAAATTAAATTCTCCTACTAAAATTCATCTAGAAATTTTATTTGGTAAAACATTTCCAGAAGTGAAAGAGTTGTTTCTTATTTTTTAAGTCCTTTCTTAGGGATTGGATAGTGATTAAACATCGGTCATCTTAAACCAGATTTCCTTAATAGAGCTTATGTTTGAATCAGTCCTTTGTGCCCAGAAAGCTAAAGCAGCACTCAATGGAGCAGATATATATGCTGGATGTTGCACGCTAAAAATTGAATATGCAAGGGTAAATATTTTTTCAACACTTCACCAAAGAAATATTTATGCTCTGATATTATATATTAAATTTGAATTTTCTTTTTAATCTTAACAGCCAACTCGTCTAAATGTTATTAGGAATGACAATGACAGTTGGGACTACACTAAACCATATTTGGGAAGACGAGGTAAGTATTTTATGCATTTTATAATGTACTTACATCTGCTGAAAATTTTTACATGCAGTTTAGATTCCTTTTTCCTGAGATGAGCTAGTTCATTCAAATGAAAATGTTGGTGAATGCTTTTGTTGAAAAAGGCCATGTAATGCTGGAAAATAACCTTGAACATTAGTGCCCCCTACTGGTATGTACTGAGTTATTTATATTTAGTTCAACAAAGGAGCCCACACATACAAGCACGCCCGCAGTTCAAGGACTTGCATTTCTCCAAGCAGCTCTCTCTCTTTGGAGGAGAGGAAACTGATTCAGAACATTCCTTACAAACTTCAAACTTGCACACTGCTTCTCTATGGAAAGGACTTTCCCCCCAAGCTGGACAAGGCATTAAGAAGGATAGAGGACTCCAGCAGGCTGACTCTACACTTCATCATGCACAACATCGGCATCAGCAAAAAGCCCTCTGAAAAACTCAGACTTGCAATTCACCTTGACTGCATACTGCATGCACCATCACCCAAGTTTTTAAAGGAGGACACTTAACAGTACTTCAGACTTGGCATGGGATGAACACCATGATAGACTGTGCCCATGTATTCAAGTTGTATGTATCTATTGGTCTGATTTCCCTTAAGGTTTCAGTTGTAGAATTTGAGATTTTACACTAATGGATGTTAGTGTAACACTAGACGTTACCTACAATGTTGTAAATATTATTGCCCATTACTGTAACTGTTTGCAGCTTAGATTCAAATTGTTAATTGGCAAATACCAGGGCCAATTTATTTACAGGTCTTGGGAATTGATAATGCTCAACCAATCCACACAGATATTAACGACCAAAGGATTAGAAAGGTGCACACTTGCTGCACTTAAGTTTTTCCCCTCCAGTGTGGTCATTGAATAGAATAATATAATGGAAAGGTGCATGATATGTAAAAGACAATTTTCTGTGTGGTTTGATTTTTGTAAAGTGGCTGTTTATAAGTTGTTACTTCTTGTAACAATTTAAGGTTATCACTCATGTTAATTTGTGTAACTCGAAATTTTGACATTTCAAATGTAGGTGAAAGTAACATGTCTGTTCAAGGTAAAATATATTTAAACTTGATAAATCTGAATATAAGAGCAGTTCATTTGAGATACATTTTCACCTATAATCTATAAATGCTAGATTTCATGAGCATAGATTTTACTGGTAAACTTGTTCAATGAAGTGTGTGGCAATTTTGGAATATACAGGTTAAAATGTGGATCTTGTAAAAACAAGGGGGCTGCAATATTGGCTACATCTCAACTACAATATCAGCATCTGAACCATCTGATGGGAAAACTCACCAAGATGAGTATGTCTGTAAAATTTAATAAACTAAAAAAATTTTATGGCATCCAAAACATCTTGGGCGGTAGGGACTCTATAATAAGAGTATGTATTCTTGCCCAAAGAAAAAATACAATGCAGTGGTCCTTGGACTCTTTAAATATTTAGGACTTTTGGGTGATTGGCCCCTTTAATTCTCAATTTTCAAGAAATTATCTTGCCTTGTGTATGGGGTTACAAAAGATTTGTTTGGTAATGCAGCTTTGGCTGGCCCCCCACATTTTTTCACTTCTCACAGTAGTCTGCTTGATGCAGGCTTGGTGCAGTTGAATCCAGTATTGGAAAACAAAGCCTTGTTGCTTAAACAACAGAACAAGTGGTTGATGAGAAATCTCTCACTTCTGTCAAATTATAGTCAGTTATTGAACACTCAGGGGTATTGTTTTACTTATTTGAAATAGGGATTTTGGTTACAATTTTTTTAATGTCTCTTAAAACATTTATAGACATACTTCTTATTTTGATAGTGTTAACATCTATTCTTTTAAAAGATCAAAAGTTTATACAAATCCTGCTTACATTAATTTCTCATGCGGGGAATTGCAGTCAGAAAAGTTTAGGATTGTGTAAGGTAGATATTTAAACAGTGAAGTAGATTAAAGAAAGTCAAACAGAATTTTAGTTGTTTATGCTTTCAAGGGAAAAGAATTTTTGTTGTCTGGCAAGATGATAGCAGTTTATGTTTTTGTTGTGACTAGCTTCTACTCAAGTTGATATTGAAGTGTAACTTTTCTACCAAAACAAAGTGCTTTTATAAATATAAGCTGAACGTTCCAAGCCTGGACTCCAGAGAACCCCTCCTGAAATGTTAAGCAAAACTTGTCTATATATGTATGTTTTGGGAGAGAAGGCCCACAGCTTCCATCAGATTTCTGATGAATCCAGGAAAGGTTACAAACACTATTTATAGACTGGTGTGTTCAGTGTATGACTCTTCTGTACACTTCTATTTTTTTGTGACCTCATATTAGGTAGTGAATGCTTCAAATAAAGAGAATGATTAATAATGAGGATGTTTGGCTGAAAGATAACTTGGAGAGTATATCTACCCTAACTTCTTCATTTTATGAATGAAGATTTTTCCTATGATTTACTGCAAATTAGTGGTTAAGTGGGGATCTGTTTCTCAATCCACTGCTCTTTATAGCATATCATTAACTATCTCAATAAAATGGAACCCTGAAAACAAGCTGATATTGGTTGAAAATTTCTAGATTAGATTTGTATTTAGTGGTTGGTGGCATGCTTAAATAGAGGCACATTAGCACAATGTATTAGCAGATTGGATTGATTCAAGAGGAGTGAGACTTAAATGATGCTGATTTAATGAAAAAAGGGAACTGTGACTACTTAGTTTGGAGAAGAAATGACTTTGGGGAAATGGAGTGGGAGGATCATAGCTTTGAAGCACTTGGAAGGGTATTTGGAGAAAGAATGAGTAAGGCTCCAAATGGGAGTAGAGGACCAATTTCTGTATACCTGAATAATACAAAAGTTGATTTCCTTATGACTTAGGCTTACCTGAAAATGTAAGGGAAAGTAGTGAGTATCTTGTTACTGGTTTGGGTAAGCAGAGGTTAGTCGGGGGTAGGGAACTTTTTTTCTGCCACAGGCCATTTGGATATAACATCATTCATGGGCCATACAAAATTATCAACGTAAAAATTAGCCTGCTAAATTTGGTCAAATCTTTAATTAACTCACGCCTAATGCTTTGGCAGAGGCAGACCAAATGATTTTGAGGGCCTTATGTGGCCCGAGGGCTGGACGTTTTCTACCCCTTGGGCTAGATTGTCCCAATTGATGTAAAGAAAATTTATACACTGAATTAAAAATTGAACTAAATGACCTTAGTTTCCTATTAATGCTGTGATAACTTGGAATAAGTAATTAAAATTATATTTCTCTAGACTGAGGTGAAAAAGTATTTCTCCCATAAATCTCATTTATTTAGTTGATTATAATGATATAAAGAGCGTCTCTCTCTTTGAATTTTCAAAGACTAGAATGACCAGACTCTTAAGATATATTAAAAAAAAAAAAAAATCTTACCGGATACTATAATTTGACCAGCAGATTTTCTAAAAGTATTGTACAATGAATTTTTAAATTTACTAACCAACATTGGAAGTGCTATTTTAGAAACTTACTTTTTATTGACACCTCAAATTAGATTTGGGAACATTGGTATGCCTTCCCTGATGATGTAGCTAAAATAAAAATTATACTGTAGGAATATTGTAGTAGTCTCATCCAATAATGTAGCCCCCTTGGTTAGCTTTATCTGGCATATTAAACGTTGGGGGGTGCTCATAGTCCTACCTGGTGTTAAGCTCTATACACATACTACAGTCTGGGCCAGTGATGTGCACATTCCCAGCTCTGAAGTCTGTAGGTGTTTGTAAATATGTGTATATACATACAAAATACTCTGTGTTTACTGATTGTGAAACCATGTAATACAGGTTGTTGTTGGCTTATGCTGAACTTCTTGAAAGAAGCCCACTTTGAAAATGTGTTGCTGTTGAAGCTAATAGTATGATTCAGGTACTGTCTTTCAAAAGTACTGCACTTAAAGCTTGTTTTAAAGACATGTATTGGTAAAAACTCTGTACAGTGTCAAACCCTAGTATTGTGTACATTCACTTTCTGAAAAGTATCCATTCTTCTTAATTTTGAAAGTGTGATTGTATTTGGCATTTGCCAAAAAGATATTTTCAAGTTAAGTGGAGTTTGTTAGATAGAAGTACTTTCTTAAACTTTTGGTGTTTGTATTTAAAATGGATATGAATGGATGTTTAAAGTTAACCAGGAATCATATTTTTTTTTATTATGAATTGTAATGGATGTTTTGAATGGGTTTTCCCATGTGAGAACTCTGTTAAGTACTTGGATCAAAATTGTTAAAACCATGTTTCTACTTTTGTGTCAGATAGAGGAAAGGGTCGCCAGAGACAAGCCATTTTGGGAGAACACCCTTCTTCGTTTAGACATGATGGCTATGGTAAGTTTGTCAAGGCAGAAGGAAGGTAGTATAGACGAACTGTTAGCATTTTTGCATTTCCTATGAATGGCACATTTCTTGTTTCTATATTTCCTGTTCACTTGACTTGGTTTATATGGGATTGGTCCCTTATAATGTACTCCCAAGGCATTGTCCAAAACCTTTTTTTTTTTTTTTTTTTTTAGAATATTGATATATTTTATAATTCTTGAGATAAATGAATTATTGGTTGGGGATTTGAAAGTTTTTATTTTTTACCATTATATCTTGTTTTGTTTTGTCTTGGTTTTGATTAGTAATGGGCTCTGGTTTTGTTAGAGGATCAAAAAGAAGTACTATTGCTCAGTAAAGTGTATTTTCTTTCATACTAGCAATTATGAACAAAGAGGAATTTTGAGAAAGAAAGGCAGAAAGAACGGGGTATTTATTGAAAAGGAAACTTGTTTCTGGTTAGATTTTGATTTTAGTTCTACAGTTGGTATTTTGGTTTTAAATTAGTTTTATTTAACTTTTCTTTTAAAACTTCTTTAGTTTTTTTTAAAAAGTATATATTTGGTTTTAATGTTTGCTATGTTGGCAAGTTTAAGATTATGAAACCAAGAATAATCTTCCTCAGGAAAGCATTGTCAGGCTATTGTTCTTGTGAGTAGATGTTGAGAATTGCTGTTGATAAGATTAACTGGTTATAAGTTCTGTGGTTTTAAATATTTTTTAGTTTTTATCGACTCTACCTATTTTGTGGTTTAAAGTTGAAGTCCAGTGCTATTTGGAGTAGTAGAAAATGGAAATTACTTTTGTCATAGCAAAGTGCCTGGTGTTGCCTCTTGTCTGAAATGTCTACATGCTTGATGACCATTTTAGCTGTGAATTTTAGTTTATCCCCTGTTGTTTTTTTTGAACTCCAGGAATTTATTACATTTGTTTGTTGACGTTTCTATAGTAGTCTTCATGGCAAAAGACATTGAAACAATATGTTATATCAAACAGGAAGTGTGGTGTATAGAATGAAAATCTTACTGTGGACTGTCAATTTAGTGAGTGTGTTCCTTGATAATTTGTTTCTTTAATTGTAAATGTTAACAATGGTTGGGTAGTTCTGACCCTCCATAAAGAAACTCTTGTGCTTTGCCTATTGGAGGGTTAAAAAAGAATTGCTGACCACAAGTTTGTAGTGGAGTTGTGGAATACATAACTGTGCTACAGGTGTCAGCTGAAGGTTAAAATTGGCATAGCAGGCTAACACAATCTGTGAAAGAATAAATGAAGAACAAAGAACTCTACTGTAGTAGTGTTGACACATACTTTTCTCAGTGTGAGTTTTTAGGTTTTCCTTCTTTTATAAAATTTATCTGATTGAAAAGTTGTACAAGTAAAAATATGTTTTATGCCCTAGAAGAACTTTATACATGTTTATTTTAAAACCTATTATACTCTGTCAGCTTAATGCCCTAATTTATTTGGAGTGTTCGTGTGTGTGTGTGTGTGTGTGTGTGTGTGTGTAAGTATTTTAAAGCACAAGTTTATTTAAATAAGATGCAAAATCCTTTGGAATGATGATAGTTATTAAATAGGGATCCCTCAGGAATGAAGAGGAATGGTTGTGGTGGGGTTGTGTAGGGCATCTATTCTGAGCTATGTCCATTGAAACACTTCACTGAGAATAATTCTCCTTTCCCAGAGAAGTATGAGGAATAGGGTATAGGAGGGGAGAGGGACTGGTGGTGGGGTGAGAAGGGAGAGAAGGGGATGGAGAGAGGGAAAGAGAAAGAGTTATGAATAAAGAGGCAGAGAAGATGTGAAATTGGGGAAAGGTGGTGATGGCGTGGGTGCTAGTGATACTGAACTAAACCTTTGTACAAATGGTGCAACTCACACCTGTATTCCGCAAAACAGGCTTACTTGCATTTTTGTGCCATATCATGTGGCTTAAGAGGTTGAATTATTTAATTTAGATTAAATTTCTTACTTAATTTTTATAACAATTTAAATCTGTGCTTTCAGAATTCTTTAGCTTTTTTTATTTTGGGAAGCCCAGCCTATGAGGTGAACTGGTAAAAGCCCTGATACTTTAAAAGTGGCAAAAATAAACATACAGATTTATTTGGGGTGAGCCCAAGAAAAGTTTGTGGATTAATTGTTAGTATCTTTGGATATAATTCTGGACCAAAGATTTTAGAATATGCCTTCAAAATATTGCCTATTTATGTAGCATTTTTTCACATAAGTGAATTTTTAAATACTGGAAGCATTTTTTAAGCAGCAAAACTTTTTTGCATGAACTAGTTAGTATAGAAAGCTTTTAAATGACTTTTATGTTTTTCTTATTTTCCTAAACAATCAAGGTAACAATTTAAGTTCTATAGGTAACATAATTTAATTCTGATGGCTAAAGGTCCTAATTATAAACAAAAGTGATATTCTTGCACTGAATTTTATTGTTACATCAAAAGTTTTTTACTTTGGCCAACTTAACGTAGAATGGAAAGTTTCTGCTGCCCATCTACCATACATCTTTCCACTTTCCATGGAAAAGAAAATCTAGTGATAATAGTAAAGTGTCATTACTGTACGAGCAAGTGGTGGGATGCAATATAATATGTATGTACACTTTTGTAAGAGGGAAAAGAATGATTGATATATGACCCCAATGTATGTGTAACAGTTTAAATTAGAGGCCAAAATATGTATAATTACAAGTAACTCACCCTGATCTATATTGATTGTTTTGATAAACTACCAATTACCAGCAGAAGAGCAGCTGAAAACCATGACCAATTTAAGTTAACACTGATGACAATGTATTGATAAGTATTCTTTATAACAATGATTTTCAACCTTTTTCATCTCGTGGTGCACATAAATTAATTACTAAAATTCTGTGGCACACCAAAATTATATTATTTGCTGATCTGCCAAAAAAAAAGGTACAATTTTGATTGATTCACACTGGAAGGTTATTGTCATGTTGGCTATTGTCATTTTTTTATTTGATGATCTAAGGGAAAAGAGGTCAGTGTCCCTGACTAAAGAGTCAGGTATTGCATGTTTTAAAAATTCTTGTGGCACATTAGTTGAAAATTGCTGCTTTATAAAACCACAGGAATTTACATCATTTGCATGTGCTCGGTGGTGGTGTTATGCTATGAATCGCAGCTACACTTAGAATACTGAATTGGAGTCCGTGTGAGCTCTGATAGCATGCCGTTATCCAGAATATAGTAGTTCTTAGTAGTAACTCAGTGGATGACAAGTGTTCCTTAGTCTCATAAAAATGAAAGTCAGAGGCATTATATACGCTTCACTTTTGAGAAACAAGGAAAGGACTTGGGAGTTTGGATTGGTTTCTTGCCCATCACGAGGACCTTTGCATGTTTCAAGAATGTGCTTTTATTAATCACGAACTCAGGAGCTGCTGAGAAGTACTTCTGAGTTGTTTGTCCCCAGATTTGTTGTCCCTTCTGAGTTCTCATGTAAGAACTTTCTCCAGACTCCCTGATTCCTGTCTATTTCACTCACTTGTGCTTTATTTTTCTTGTCCCTTCCCATCAGTTGTGGATGGGAAAAACAGATGAAGTTGTTTAGAACTACAAAGTTAGCAGGTGGATTCTTAAGGATTTGTATGAGAGATGTAGGTTTTTGTGTTTCTGTGACAACAGGTTTAGGTATTCAGGTATTTTCTTCTGGTTCTTGATGTTGTTGCAAAAAATGGGTTGCTGCATAATGACACCTTGGAATAGGTGTGATATTAACTGAATTAGAAGTAGAATAAAATACTAACCTGAAAGTATGTTATAGTAAATTATATTTAAAGGAGAACTAAAGATGTTCTTTTGGTTATATCTGTATATAGTTTTCTAGATTTCACTGTATGGTATTATCCTCTAAAAGACGTTGGCAGAAGGTATTTTTTTTAAAAACTTAAGGTATAATGTATATAGAGTAGCCCAAAGATTTACTCTGATTTCCCCTCCCCATTTATGGCCTGATCTTACATACTTTTGGGGGGGGGGTTTAAACTACTATTTTTTAAAATACAGAAACATAAAACCTGATGTATGCAGGTACATGCAGGCCTACGTATATAGGATCTGGTACGGATGTAGATTTTATTATTCATACAGGTTATATTTGAACATTCACACATTTGAGTTTTCTTTGGCCATACATCAGTCTAGTTATAGTAAGAGTTTATTTTTTTATGTGGTATAGTGTATTTGCTAAAATATTTCTCTCTCTCTCCCTCTCTCTCTCTCTCTCTCTCTCTCTCTCTCTCTCTCTCTCTCTCTCTCTCTCTTTCTCCCCTCCCCCCTTCCTTCTTACCTTCCCTCCCCTGCCCTTCTTCTCTCCTTCCTTTCTTTTTGGTCATTTTTGTAGGATCACATGGTCCGTTATTGCCTTTACCGAGTCGTTACAGAATGGGTTCTCGAGATACACCTGAGCTTGTTGCATATCCATTACCACAAGCCTCTTCCTCTTACATGCACGGAGGAAATCCCTCTGGTTCGGTTGTGATGGTTAGTGGATTACATCCACTAAAAATGAACTGTTCGAGAGTCTTCAACCTATTCTGCTTATATGGAAATATTGAAAAGGTAAGTTCCTTTTTTACAATTTTTTTGCTAAGATAATATAGTAAGAAAATCTGAAAAGGCAGCAAATACAGGGTGTCCTAAAAAATGTATACATACTTTAACAGCTGATAGCTCAGTTTTGAAAATGAAATGCATTTTAATAAACACTGCCTTTATAATTATTCAAAATGTGTGTATACATTTTTTTGGGGGGTAGCCTATATATGTTTTTCTTCTTGAGTTAGGAACATTCAAATTACTTTAGTAACTAATGAACCACATGAGCTAAAAATCCATTAAGTAGGAACTCCAGAATTTATTTTTTGTAGGTAAGTGATCAGTATAGGTTGTTGCTACTAAAAAATTTTTTTTAATATAACTAATACGAATAGAAGCCTAAAACAGTTTAATCAGTTACTGGAGTATTATAGGCATAAGTCTTACTTTTTTTAATCATTTCAAAGTGGTAATAGCATTTAGCATATTAAACTGTGGAATTTGGAAGAACTAAGTATACATAAATATGTCTCAGACTTAGCCATAAGTCTAGATTTAGTATATACCTGCCTCCCATGTGCTAGAGATCTTGTATCTTCTGAGGAAAAATGCACTTTTAGACCCACTTTGATGGAATGTGTTCAGAACTTTCTGTTTGGTGGCTTAAACTCCAAAAGGAGCAAAAATTTAAATTAAACATATTTCGAAGATATTTAAAATTTTAACTTTATTTCCACCAGATAACTAACTCTGTGGTTCCTCCAGGTCTATGATGTTTTGTTCATTGATAATCATAGAAATATTTAGGATACTTCCTATCACAAAGCAGATAGATATTAAACTATTTTTGAAAGAATTGTGGGAAATTTAACTGGGCAAATTATTGGTAATCTTAAGTTACTAATTGTTTGAATTACTTGCTAATTGAGTTTTAATATTGTGGTAATGATGCTTTCCCTGTTATTTTATGTGCTTTTTTTTTTATGTTCTTTTTACAACAAAAAAGTGTAAGTATGTGAGTTACTTACTACTCTTAGTTCTTACTTTAATTCTAAAACCTTCCTGAATTGATAAAGGAACTTGGAAAAATATCTGAAATAAGAATTTCCTCAACATAACTATTTGACAACGTTTAAAAAAAAAAAAAAGAAAAAGAAAAATTCATATTTGGTATAGGGGGATACATTTAGAATATTTCTACTTATATAACTAGTTAAGACTACATGGGACAGATTTAGCAATATTGGGGCAAATAGTCCAGATTTTTTTCATACAGACATTTATCTTAGACACTTGGGTATTTACTTAATGTCTAAGAGCCTTATGCTTGATAACTAAATGGGCTAATGTGTACTTTAACCTTTTTTACAAAGTGTTAACTTTTCTGTTTGTGCTTTTCACATTAGTAGATAATCAGAATCAGTTTAATCAATATCTTTAGTAGATCTTTGTCTTTTATGTTATAAACTGACTAGAGGCCCGTGCACAAATTGTGCACCAGTGGGCTCCCTCAGCCTGGCCTGTGGGATCAGGTAGAAACTAGCTCTCTGACACCCCCTTTCCCCTCTGGGGTCTCAGATTGTGAGAAGGTGTAGGGCAGGCTGCGGGTCCCCACTGGTGCATGATTGGGGCTAGGAAAGAATGTGGGAGGGCTCCAGAACGTGTCCATCCCCTCTCACTCAGTCCTTATCAGCTGGACCCTGGCAGCAAGCTAACCTATAGGTCGGAGCATCTGCCCCCTGGTGGTCAGTGCATGTCATAGTGAACAGTTGAATGGCCTTAGCATATCATTAGCATATTATTATGCTTTGATTGGTTGAACGGCTGACTGGTCAACTGGACACAGCATATTAGGCTTTTATTATATAGGATAGGATTATCATATGATTTAGAAACCAAATCACTTTGTCTAATAAAACTTAAGTTTTCTGTATGTTATTTGAACAATTCTAATATCTCACTCCACGTATCAATAATTTTAAGACATTTTAAATGATATAATATGATACATTAAACAAAAGCCATAATATTCTTAAAATATCTTTGTATAATTAACTTTACCTAACTTCTTTTAAAGATTTACCAGCATAAGAACTACATACTTCACATACGTATTTACTTACTATTAGATTTATAGATGTTATTGGATTTAGTCAAGGGAGAACAATTTTGCCCATAAGAAGACAAATGAAACTGAAAAGTTTTGCTACAGTTGAATTTTGTTCAAGTATAGGTGTAGTATAAAAATGCTAACATAGCCCATTGAAAGTTGCAATAGTGAATATAAATGCTATGTTGCATTTGTTGTGTAAGAACATTGCCAATCTTCTTTTGAGGTTAACTGATAAGGAAGCATGTTCAAGATGTCATGGATGTTAGTAATACTTAATAGCTATTTTACAGACTTTCCAAGGAGAGGAAAATCACTATGCTGAGTGATTTTCATACTTGATCCAATCTAACCCTTACAGCATTTATACTAAAATTGGAACGTGCCTCTGCCCCAGATATTATGAAAATTTGTGAAGTATTGCCTGTTTTTTAAACTGCCCCTTCCTTGCACCAGCCTTTTACTGGAAATGTTGTCTCAAGGCCTTCTTGTATTATTTCTTGATAGGATTTTGTATATCACTGCAATAGCACTCTGGTTATTTGGTAATTATCACTTTCAAATTTCTGACCTACCTACTAGAATATAAACTTCAAGAAGACGTGCCGGTTATGTTCACTAGGGAGACCCTAGCACAGTGCTTATCAAAGCATATTGGGCATTTAATATTTGTTGAATGAAAAAATGTTGAGTCTTGTCAGGTATTATTATCTCCAAGTTGAGGCTCAGAGAAGTGAAGCAGTTGCTGTAGATTACAGAACTGATAAATAACGGAGCCAGGGTAAGCCTGTGCTCTTCTGTCAATTATATAATTATAGTCTTTTTATTAAAAAAAGCTTTATTGAATTTTGATATGAGTTAAAAGTGTCTAGTAATAATATATCAGAATAAAAGTTTAAGATTCCAGGTGATCTTCTATATTTGTCATCAGCCACTTAAACCATATTATTTTTTAGAAATTCTATTACTATAAAAGGGAATTAAATGGTCATATCTATGACTTTGTATTTACAGGTAAAATTCATGAAGACCATTCCTGGTACAGCACTGGTAGAAATGGGTGATGAATATGCTGTGGAAAGAGCTGTCACACACCTTAACAATGTCAAATTATTTGGGAAAAGACTTAATGTTTGGTAAATATCTTAAGTGGTAAATTTTAAACATCTTTTTTATTAAAGGCATGATTTTAATTTCAGAATATTCTAGTGTAACTGAAGGCACATCTGAAACTAGCATCTATAGTGTTGTTATTTTAGACAAAATATTAGGATCATATAATTCAGATTTTGCTTACCTGTGCTTGGTTTTTAGTTTTAAGATCATACAATAGCATGTTTAAATGGGCACATTTTACATTAAAGTTTTCTAATATAAGAACATATTCAATAGATTTTTTTCTAGTTAATGTCTAAAATAGAAGAGTGATTTAACTAAAATTAAATATTTACATACATGTTCGAAATACTAAATACTTAAACCATGTTTAAATAGCCATGTGTGCTTCTTTGGTAAGGTTGGTGGAGGCATATATGTTAACATTTCGAGGCTGCCTACTTGCTGCTTTTTTTCTAACAAGATGCATGTTCTGTACCGGTTTCCTTTCTATCTTCAGTGTGTCTAAACAACATTCAGTTGTTCCAAGTCAAATATTTGAGCTGGAGGATGGTACGAGTAGCTACAAGGATTTTGCAATGAGCAAGAACAATCGCTTTACAAGTGCTGGCCAAGCATCTAAGAATATAATCCAGCCGCCCTCGTGTGTGCTGCATTATTATAACGTTCCACTGTGTGTCACAGAAGAGACCTTCACAAAGGTGGGCATGGAAATACAAACTGTGTAAAATGTCCCTTTTTTTTTTTTTTTCGTTTTAAAATGTCTTATGTCAGCCTCATTTTAAAGTCTTGCTCTGCTCATCTACTTTTGATATTATTAATATTGTTTGTTTGTTTGGTACTTTATTTATATAGTTTATTCCTTGGTCATTATACTTTTCTGGCCTCCATTCATCATTGGTCTTGTTTTGGTTTGTGGCACAATCTTTTTGAGAGTTGGAATTAGAATGAGATAGCCTTATTTTCCTACATTTGGAAAGTTTTCTTACTGTGTTCTTAATTCCTACACTTCAAGAAGACCGCATCCGTTTTGTTCACTGTGGAGTAACTGGCACAAGGCTTACTAAAAGAAAACAAATTTTACATGTCTCTGCCTTTTCCCCTAACTGTAGGAAATGCTTCAGTAGAGAATTGACTTTCTGGAACTCCACTCCTATTGGTCAAGCAGTAAATCCTGGTCTACTCTGAGAATATGTATTTCAGTTACAAACCTGTGGTTTTTTTGTACAGCACTAAATGTACATAGTTTGTAGACTATCACTATTTTTGACTTTTTTCATACAGCTTTTTGATCTAAAAACATATGACTTAATTCATTCATGACAGGGTCAAAACTTAAATGCTACCATAAAGTTTAACTTTCTTCAGAAAAGGTAGGAATATTATTTTCGCCATATTTTTAATGGAGCTTTAAATTTCTTTTAACAGTTATGTAATGACCATGAAGTTCTTACATTCATCAAATACAAAGTGTTTGATGCAAAACGTAAGTGCACACTCCCTCTTTTTAGATTTTATGGTTAAGTTGATGACAAATAACAACTGGATTTGTGATTCTTTGTTTTAGCTTCTGCCAAAACCCTTTCTGGACTCTTAGAATGGGAATGCAAAACGGATGCAGTAGAAGCCCTTACAGCACTTAATCACTACCAGATAAGAGTTCCAAGTAAGTAAAATTGTGTCCTTTTTTCAATGGGAGGTGCCATCAGAAGCATTGACAATAATTTAAAAATAACATTTATTAGCTTTAAAAAATACAGAGAAGTACAAAGCAAACAAGGTATATAAATCCCACATAATACTTGTATTAGCTAACATTTACCACGTTAAGCCAGCAAACACTTACTATCTTACTCTTTCTGAGGGTCAGCAGTCTGTGTGCAGTTTAGCTGGGTAGTTCTGGCTTGGAGTTTCTTAGGAGGCTGCAGGTCTCTGGGTCTGCAGTCATTTCTAGTCTTTTTATTTTATTTTATTGATTTTTTACAAAGAGGAAGAGAAAAGGAATAGAGAGTTAGAAACATCGATGAGAGAGAATCATTGATCAGCTGCCTCTTGCACACCCTCTACTGGGGATGTATTCGCAACCAAGGTACATGCCCTTGACCGGAATCGAACCCGGGACCCTTCAGTCCGCAGGCCGGCACTCTATCCACTGAGCCAAACTGGTTTTGGGCATTTCTAGTCTTAACTGGGGACTAGAAAATCAACTTCCAAGCTCACTCGTGGTTGTTTGCGGGCTCAATCAAGCTTCCATGGTAACTGGCTTCCTTCAGAGTGAGTGATCCAACAGGGAGCAAAAGACCAAAACAGAAACTACAATGTCTTTATAACCTAATATTGGAAGTGGGGTATTATCACTTACGCTGTATTCTTGTGATTACCCAGACCAACCGTGGTACATTGTGAATATGAGGGCTTTGAATACCTTCAGGCGTAGGGATCATTGGGACCATATTGGAAGCTGGTTTCTATAATACCTCTGATCTAGAAGAAAACAATGCATGTATCCTGGCAGGTGTGGCTCAGTGGTTGAGCATTAATCTATGAACCAGGAAGTCAGGCTTCGATCCCCAGTCAGGCACATGCCCGGGTGTGCTTTCGATCCCCAGTGTGGGACATGCAGGTGATCAATGATTCTCTCATCATTAATGTTTCTTTCTCTACCTCTCCCTTCTTCTCTGAAATCAATAAAAATATATTTTAAAAAGACAAGATTTCTAACAAAAGAAAAAAAAATACCAGAATTGTTTTTTTGCATAATCAATTGATGAAGAGTTATCTTTGCTTGGTCTGAAAAATTAAAAAAAATGCATAAAATGGAATTTTGTGTGTGGATTATACCCAATTTTTTAAAAAAGTGAATTTAAAATTTACATAACCTATTGATCAGAGATTTAATATTAGATGTCCTGAATTTTTTTTTAGCTTATTGATATCTTCCTGTGCACTTCAGTCTTGTCCCACTTCCCAAGTTACATTTGAATTGGTAGAGGAATTACCATTGGTAATATTTTCTGTAAAGTGAGCTTTACCTCATGGACACAGGCCTAATCCTGATACTATTAACTCACTAAAAGAAAAACATCAGTGCCTTCTATGTGTCAGATAATGTTTAGAACAGTAGGAATGTGGCAATAGACAAAGTCCCTGCTTTCATGGAACTTGCCTACTATTATAGTAGATATGAATAAAAGTAATCTTCCCTGCCCTGACCAGTTTGTCTCAGTGGTAGTATCGGCCTGCAGACTGAAGGGTCCCGGGTTTGGTTCTAGTCAAGGGCATGTACCTTGGTTGCAGGCACATCCCCAGTAAGGGGTGTGCACGAGTCAGCTGACCAATGTTTCTAGCTCTATCCCTCTCTCTTCCTCTCTCTAAAAAAAAAATCAATAAAATTTATTTTTTTTAAAGTAATCTTTAACCTTACATAGACATTTTCCTTCTTTATATTTCTGCTTCTAATTCTATACAAAGGTAAAATAATTTATTCGGCTAATTCAAGGTAATCTTGAAAGTTGGAAGAAGTGAACTATTAACTTTGTTTTTTAATTTTTACAGATGGTTCCAATCCCTACACATTGAAGCTTTGCTTTTCTACGTCATCCCATTTATAAGAGAAGAGCATGCTAGAATTTATGTTCATGGTTACTACAATTTTAAAGCTATACTTCATTTGAAAAATGGAAAATGGTTCATCTAATGTTGCCTTGCTTACTTTGACTTAAGATCCTGTTCTGTAATAAATATTTTGCCTTGAGTAAATTTGTTGTAAACTTACATATTGAATTGTTTTCATTTTAAAATAGAATGTCATAATGTAGACTATCTACAGCTTCCTTGTAGATTGCTCAAATATATCATTTCTAATCTTATTATTTTTCTTCTGCAGTGAAAATATATTTGCATTTTTAATGCTAATTATCTGCAAGTATTTTTCCATTGTGTATGAGATTAATGCAGGTGAGAGTATTGCATTTTAATATTATAGAATTCCTATTAAATGTTTAGATGTTTAAGCATATTGCAGTTATTCATAATAAACATAACTTGTATTTATTAAGTATTTTAATCAAGTTTGAGAAGAACATACACAAATTAAATTTTAAGTACTACAGATTTAGCTGATTTATATTTCTGAAAGGCTAACAGACATGTGGGTACACTTGTACAGTATGCACTCAAACTTATTTAATTTTTTTTAAGTCATTGTCCATTTATATTGACATGCCTCTGTTTCTAGTTCCAGTTTGGAGATTTTATAAAGGTACAACACTGTGTTCATCTTCACTGGTTGCATGTGACTTGATCTTGAAAACATGTCTAGTATTCGACATTGAGATTTCAGTAGAAGTTATGATTAACAGTGTCTCATCTAGATAATCTGAGATCCATGGATGGGCTTTAGGGAGTCTGTGAACCCCCTAAAATTGTATGTAGGACTTTGGGTACTTGCATTTTTATTTTTTACTCTTGAATCCATCAGTAATATATGTATTTTTCTATATGGTGTAAGGTTTACGGATCTAATTTTATTTTTATTCCAAACAGATAGCTATTTGTTTCGACACCATTTATTAAACATTCTTTCTCCCAGTGGATTTGTTTTTGTTTTTTTCCTTTATTTGCGAAATAATATATCATATACATAGGGCAAGTAAGACGTAAGGATTAAGAGACTATTGAACACTTGTTATCAAGGTCACAGCTTTTTTGTTATCAAAAACTGATACAGTGATTTTTATTTTTATCTTAAAAGAGGGGAGAATATGTTTCATCTACTTAGAATAACTGAAGTTTATAGTTGGCAATAGTAGTTTTGTGATCTTGAGACTTTTAAACAAATTTGCATATAGAAATTCCATTTAGATCTTTCTAAAAGCTTTGTTTTAAATTTTAACATAAAGAAAACAGTTTGCCTTAATCTTTTTAGAAATGAGCTTTAACAAATTTAAGAGCTATCTAATAGAAAGTTTAGATAGAAACTAAACACATTTACCTTTATTTCCTCTTAAATTTTAACAATAGTGGACCAGTATCTCTTTAGCCCTATATTTAGAAAAATTTAAATTCAGCCTAGAACAGCGATTTTCAATCTTTTTCATCTCATGGCACACATAAACTAATTAAAATTTTGCAGCATACTAAAAGATACATCTTTTTGCCAATCTGACAAAAAAAAAAAAGGGTATAATTTTGATTCATTAACATTGGATGGTTATTGTTGTGTTGGTTGTTAACATTTTTTAATTTGATAATCTAAGGGAAAAGAGATTAGTGTCCCTGACTAACTACTCAGATATTGCATATTTTAAATATTCATGCAGCACACCAATTGAAAATTGCTGACATTGGCATTTTAGACCCTTATTATGGAATCCAGTGACTTATGCAAAGGGTAATTTGCATATGAACTGTTAAGTATATGATAACTGGACTGTGTATATTCTTCATTCATTGCCAATTTAATACCTAAGTTTATCTAACTTGACAATAAATAAAGCTTTTTTTTTCCTTCCCTGTAAATACTTTTCTTATAATACTATAAGTATGTTTGCTGTTAAATTGAAATCTTAATTTTAAAAAGTAACTTGTGATTTTATGTAAAGTTGTTTCTTTTCCTTCCCCTCTGAAAGCTTATATGGATGTCAGTGTTATAATTATTGTTTTTTAACTCTTTATTCTTTAAAGCAGTGTTCACCAACCTTTCAGACTTCACAGAGCACCAGTTGGTAACCACTGGTTTAATAGTATTACATACAATATTACATAGGTCTCCTTTTCCCCGCATTGACCTCTCTCCGGACCCCCCACCCCTCAGCACATGCCCTCATCCCCCCAGTTTCTGTGTCCATTGGTTATGCTTATATCCATGCATACAAGTACTTTAGTTGACACCCCTCCCCCCCAAACCCTACCTTGCCTTTCCTCTGAAGTTTGACGGTCTGTTCGATGCTTCTGTGTTTCTGGATCTATTTTTGTTCAGCAGTATGATGTTTATTATATTCCACAAATGAGTGAGATCCTCTGGTGTTTATCTTTCTCCGATTGGTTTATTTCGTTTAGCATAATGCTCTCCATGTCCATTCATGCTGTTGTGAATGGTAAGAGTTCTTATTTTACAGCAGCGTAGTATTCCATTGTGTAGATGTATCACAGTTTTTTAATCCACTCATCTGCTGATGGGCACTTAGGCTGTTTCCAAATCGTAGCTATTGTAAATTGTGCTACTATAAACATAGGGGTGAATATATTATTTCTGGTTTCTTGGGATATATTCCTAGAAGTGGGATTACTGGGTCAAATGGGAGTTCCATTTTTAATTTTTTGAGGAATCTCCATACTGTTCTCCACAGTGGCTGCACCAATCTGCATTCCCACCAGCAGTGCACAAGAGTTCCTTTTTCTCCACATCCTTGCCTGCACTTGTCATTTGTTGACTTGTTTATGATAGCCATTCTGATATGTGTGAAATGGTACCATATTGTCATTTTGATTTGCATCTCTCGGATGATTGGTGACTTTTAGCATGTTTTCATATGTCTCTTGGCTTTCTGTATGTGTCCTCTTTCTAAAGAGGTGAATGGTGACAAGGCTTTACTTAATTTAGATTTGCTTTTAGATATGAATTCTGTCTTAATGTTCTCTGCACTGGTGTGTCAGTCCTATACCATTGTCATCAGTGATTTCTTTGACAGGTTACTTGGGCATCACCACTGTAAATGGAGTTTGGCAACTCCATTTGGCAACACTCCCTCTTAGCCTTAGCGACAATGTTTTTCCCTGGGTATCTTTCTGTTACTAGGAGAACCTGAAAAAGTAGATTTTATAGATAAAAAGAATTAATATAATGTTGATTGTATTTTTTAAATATTGAAATTCCTCTCCATATCCAAATCCAATTACATGTTTGATAATAAATTTGGTAAAGAATTACAAATTCATGAGATCATCTGGAAACCAGATGGGCTGAGCCCCCAAATGGTGCCAGCCTGTAAGCTGCCTTTTCAAGGTCATTGCTTTTTTCTGAAACCTAACATTTCCATCAAACGGATTCAAGTGTTCATTGAAACCTGATCACCCTCCTAGCCATCTCAATTTTAACAGGCTTTGATTTGAACAGATATGGTGGACTTTGCTTGACTAATAAAAGCATCTTCAATATGAAGCCATTTATTTGAGGGAGCACTTGAAATTCTCCTAGTTTTAATTTATGAATGAGGAAGTTAGACGTGATGGATGTTGTTGCCTCTCTGCCCTCTGTTGCGCCCTCGCCCAGTCTGTAGAGTAGTCGAGGTTTGAGTGAGCCTAATGGGCGTAGTCTTTACTGTCCCTTTCAGGGACATTTTGACGGTTTATTAGGGTTGCTTTTTTCCCTGGTTTGGAGAATACTACAAATATTTGATGGGCAGGGACCAGAAAGAATTGTCCTGTGTCCTACATGACTTTCCAGTATCCCATCAGATATTATCGTATCCTAGAACGTAATGCAATTTTGTGTATATAAACAAATGAATTTTCTAGGAATGCAACTACCTTGTGAATCAGGTAAAGATGATTGTTTTGTTTTATTTCTAAGAGTTCTTTACCATTTTGGAAAACTACATCATCAAAGTGGTATTTGAGTTAATATTACAACACATCAGGGTCAGTTTTCATTTGTAGCAATCACATTCATTTCTTTATGTCTAATATAATTCCTAAGTATTTACGAATCACAATGTACATCTTATTGTTAGTTTTATTTCTCTTTTATATCAAGTTATGGTTTTATTTTAGTTGTTTTTGTTGCCAATGTGTGTGTAAGTAGGCTGATATACCTATTTAGGAATATTATTTCAGCATAATAAAAGAGTGTCAGGTTTCCTGGGTTGGGAACCATTGCTTTAAACAAGGTAATTTGGTTCTGAGTTGATCCAAAGGTAAAACTACTAGGTTGATCCAAAGACAGTGAAGCTGGGATTTGATGAATGGTTGAGGAGATGCTTTCCTCGAGGGGCGTGGTCTGCCCGTGTGAGGTAGGCCTATGTGCTGTGGCCCTTCTGCTATGTGTGAGAACTTCCTTGGGAGAGAACAATGATACAGAAGAGTAGAACTAAAGGCACCCTAATTTCCACAGCACACAAATCACCGGGAGCGTAGGCTAGTTTGCCCACTTCATGCTCCATGGACCTCTGTCGTCAGAGTTTCCTTTTCAGTGACAAGCCATCACTATATATTTTAAGATTCTATAATAGCCTACATTTCACCTTTAACTCGCCGTGCTAATATACAAACAAGTCACGTGAAAGAGCATTGAGAATTGTTTGACGGAGGGTCTCCCTATCTTTAAACCTGAAATATTTATCTTTTTTGTCAGTCTTAGGCCCGTGACCCATCTTAGTTTTTCATCAATGCCACGATAAAGTTTAAGCAGGTGAAGAATTTCTGGGCCCTTTTCTAGAACTGAAAACATCCTCTGTAGATTTGTTAATGACTCCTTTATTTTCAAGAGCAGAAAGTGTATATATACTCAGTTTTATTATGTAACATCTTTTATGTAAATCATATAGAACTGATAACTGAATAGAAGCATTGAATGTGAGTGGCAGTTTCTGACCTGGAAACGTACGTATCT